ACAATTTTTTTTTAATTGAAAGCTATGAGGAGGTGAAAACAGGAGTTTAGAGAATGGAATGCTTTCTGTGACCATGGGAGGTCACTACTGTGATAATAAGGAACATCCCACATTTTAGTCCCATATAAACCTGTTCCATTTTTAAGCAGTGACAGGCTCATTTTTCTTCCCCTAGGAAGAATATTTTTATTTTTAAACTTTAATCTTTGAAAAGTGTTGCCCTTTCTTCCTTGCCAAATACACACCACCTACTCCTACTTCAGTCTCTACATCTATAACTGAAGAGCTCCTTGTAATCAGCACAAGTGCTTAAGAAGCACACCAGAAGAAAGGGCTCCTCACACCCAGCAGGGGAGAGGAGTGGGAAAAAGAGAATCTAACTACTGGCATGACGTGCATTTTAAAAATGATGCATCAATCCTGCAAGCTGGTGAGCACCTCCTGTTGGGTGCTGGGTGCTTTCTGCTCTCACTGTTGTCACAGCAGACACAAAGCAACTTGAAGACTGGGCTCTAAATTTAAAAAAACCAACACAGTTTCTCTTTAGGAATTATAGGGTTTTCTGAAGCACCCAGACACTGGGAATTATCCCCATGTGTGCCTCTCCTCCTTTCATTAGCCCTCTTGGCACTGGGAATGTTCAGTGTGGCTGTGCTAAGGAGAGGGAACGTGAGTTTGTGTGTATTTCTTCAAGGATGTAGGGAGTGGAGTGGTTGCCAAATGTCCTTAGCTTTAGCATAGTGTCCTTAGCTTTAGCATAGAGAAGATTTTAAATTTGGCTGACCTGGCCCATGGCTATATTAAAAATGTGATAGTTTACTGGAGTTCATAATTTGCCTATTTCAATAGTATAGTTATGGCTGGATTTTTATTCTAAACCCCTATTTTGAGGTGCTAATAGTTTTTCAAAGTAATTAACCCATTGGACTAACATTGCTCATGTATATTTTAAGCACAAAGGTGAATTTTATTGGAAAGCTTGACAAAAACCTCACTTGGCTGTTCCTGAGGATGGAAAAAAGAGGTTTTTATATGTATTTGTATTAATTTTTTTGCATTAATCTTCCTCCTACAGAAACTAAAAAGAAGAAACACAGAGCACCCAGACCAGCAGACCTTACTTGGTGGGGGGGACCCCCCCCCACTGACTTCCAGTCAATGGGAGTATTGCATAGGTAAAGGGTACAAATGGGGTTCACACAAACAGCCCTGTTCAACCAAGGCCAGCTGACTCACAGGAGAAATGTGGGGTCAGTTATAACTTCCACTAAGGCTATACCTAGTCAAGTATGTTTCATGATTCAGTTAGACAGCATGCGTCTGCTGAGCAGTGTTTTCTGCAATGATGAGTAGTACAAGCATAACTTCTATATTTTGGTAGAGTGTTTTGAGTGTTACATCAGGTCCTATATGTTATTTTTGCACAGGAATTCAGGCATCAGTTTCTATTTTTCACTTTGTTAATCACAGTCTCTAAAGATACCATCTGTGCACAATTTTCACTCCTGGGCCTTGTCTTTCTAGTGTGGGATCAATGGAACTCCCCAGTCCCTGAAGTTTTTTGGCCGCCACTTCCAACCACTATTCTTTGAACATTGAGTCCTTTGGTTCATTCTTCACCAAAGGAGTTCTATCTCTTCTGACTCTGCTTTGGCTCTGTGTCCCTGTGAGGTACCAACCCTGCACTGGGTCAACGGGGGTGACCACTCATGAGCCCAGGAGACCATACCCCCTTTCCCCTGCGTGCTCCAGATGGAGGGGACAGATAAAAGGAGGCATCCCAGCTCAGTCAGGGCTGGTGGAGGAAGGATGTGTGCTGCAGGCTCCTGCAGCGGAACCATTGACTCTCTAGGCTGTTGGGACTGTGGACCCTGACTACGCTGTGGATGACTAGCAAACCACAGAGACTGATGGAGATGCCGGGCCATTGTCAGCTGAGGAGACGCCCGAGATGGGCTTTACGGTAGTAAGTGACCCAGGGAATGTGTTAGGAGCCAATGCCTGAACCCTTAATAGGCAGTTTAAGAACCTGGTGTGGTAGGGTGGGCCCAGGTTCCCCAACCTTCCCACCCTTGTCTGCAATTGCCACTAGGTGTGACTACTGGGGACTCTGGATATAGACTGAGTGTTTGCTCTGTCCCGCCCCAGGGGCTGCAGACTGATTGTTTGCTCTACCCTGCCCTGCCCTGAGGGTCAGAGCCCCAACTGCCATTGTTTGCTCTGGCCAGTAGGCCCAAAGGCTACAGACTACTTGTTTGCTCTGACCGCCAGGGGTCCTGAGCCCCTTGATCATGATTGCAACAGGGAATCCTGACAAACGTGTGACGGGTTTACCAACCCTGCACTGGACAAATAGGGGCGGCCCCCCACTCGACATGCCAAGCCCCCAGGACTGTCCCATTTCAGTTCTGTATTGCCTCGGGTATCCTTTGTATGGTGTCTCTGTCTTCCAGTTAGGTCTGATTATTATTTTAAAATTAGCAATCTTTGATTCTGTGTGTCCTTTGCACCACCCATTATTAAGGTTGTCTGACATTTCCTTTTATAAAATGCTGTTTTCAGTTGCTTATAATAACTTTTCCAAACTTTAACCATTTGGGCTGAAATTTTCCATTCTGTTGTCTGCCTTGGGCTGAATTTTTGTGGCAAATTTCAGCCAAAATGTTTCAGCTGTTTCTCAGAATGAGTCTAGGGGAAAAAAGAATTGTTTTGCCCATGTTAAAAAATTCTGGTTACCTTTTCTTTGAAAAATCCTTGTGCCCCCATGCTTTCGAGCAGGGATTTGAAATTTGGCAGGGAGATATACCTTTGTGTCAGTGATGTGCCTTTTGCTGTCCCCTGAAAATCCACCCAACTTTGGCCAATTTATAACCCTTTGAAAAATCCATTTTGTACATGCTCAGTAGAGACTTGTTCAAGCCTGACAGCTAAACTCCCTGATAACGTGGTCCACAGTGAGCAGGTTCCAGCCCAGGGCAGAGCAGGATTTCCCCTGTAATTGCAGCTGTCTGGGGTTGTGGGCTGTGCTGCCTATAGGCATCTGACTGAGAATAAGGAGATTGTTCTGTCCTTTGTTCTCAATTACACCCCTGCCAGACCCAGGGAATTTGGAGGAGAGAGTTGCCTAATAAGAATGCAGAGGGGACAAGAACTGGACTGGCAGGGGAAGAAGATTGGGGCAAGAGTTTATGGGGGTGGAGACTGGGGACTTGGATGTTGGTCAGATGGTTGGGAAGGGAAACAGACTGGGATTGGGAACGGGGGCAGAGACCGGGACTCGATGGACACAGGGACTGGGAGCTAGTAGGTCGGGGGGAGATTGAGATTGGATGAGAAGCTGTGTGGGAGCTGGGACTGAGAACCAGTGAGGTGGGGGGAAGGAGGTGAGGAAAGGAGAGATAGAAATGACAAGGATCCAGTGTCCAGGGCGAGAATTGGGATTGGCTGGGCAAAGAGACTGGGACCAGGAGCAGGGGATAATAGAGGACACAGATTGAATGAGGAGTGAGATTGGGGGCATGGCTACATGTGCAGATGTAGAGAGCTTTGAGTTAAACCCGCCTTCGGAGAGTGCAGTAGGGAAAGCACTGCAGTCTGTCCACACTGACAGCTGCAAGCACACTGGCGTGGCCACATTTGCAGCACTTGCAGCGGCATTGGGAGCGGTGCATTATGGGCAGCTATACCACAGAGCACCTCTTCCCATTATGGCGCTGTGGCTTGTGGGAAGAGGGTGGGGGAGATGGGACATTCTGAGTCCTGTCCCAACGCCCCGTGATGCATCAGTTTGCATCCCAGCAATCCCTGTGCTTCCGTCCACATTTGGTACCATCCTTCAACATTTTTTTGTACTGCGCGCTCTGTCTTCCCTTTCAGTCTGCGGGAATGGAGCCCAAATTGCTCAGGAGTATGCTGACGAGTCTCACCAGCACATCATCTTTGGCAGTCGAGTTATTCCTTATAATCCGAAGTGACAGTGAGGGCTCCGACGATATCGACTCGAGTAACGCATATGACACAAGTTTGCTTGTGGCATTCACGGACATGCTCACCATCATGGAGCGCCGCTTTTGGGCTCGGGAAACAAGCACTGAGTGGTAGGATCACATCGTCATGCAAATCTGGGATGACAAGCAGTGGCTGCAGAACTTTCGGATGAGAAAAGCCATTTTCATGGGACTGTGTGATGAGCTTGCCCCCACTCTGCAGCACAAGGACATGAGATCGAGAGTTGCCCTGACAGTGGAGAAGCGGGTGGCTATTGCAATCTGGAAGCTGGCAACTCCAGACAGCTACTGATCGGTCTCTAACCAGTTTGGAGTGGGAAAGTCTATCACTGGAATCGTGTTGATGCAAGTTTGCAGGGCTATTAATCACATCCTGCTCAGAAGAACCGTGACTCTGGGTAACGTGCATGACATTGTGACTGGCTTTGCACAAATGGGTTTCCCTAACTGCGGAGGGGCGATAGATGGCACGCATATTCCAATTCTGGCATCAGCACACCTAGCCTCCGAGTGCGTTAATCAGAAGGGGTATTTCTCTATGGTTCTCCAGGCGCTTGTGGATCACTGTAGGTGTTTCATTGACATTAACGCAGGCTGGCCCTGAAAGGTGCATGATGCACGCATCTTTCGGAACACTGACCTGTTCAGGAAGCTGCAAGCTGGGACTTTTTTCCCAGACCAGAAGATCATGGTAGGGGAAGTCGAAATGCCCATTGTGATCCTTGGAGACATCGCTTACCCTTTAATGCTGTGGATCATGAAACCCGACAGAGGGAGCCTTGACAGCAGCAAGGAGCGGTTCAACAAGAGGCTGAGCTGGTGCAGAATGACACTGGAGTGTGCTTTTGGCCATTTAAAGGGTTGCTGGTGCTCTCTGTATGGGAAGCTGGACCTGGCTGATGACAGTATCCCTGTGGTTATATCCGCGTGCTGTACCCTCCATAACATTTGTGAAGGGAAGGGTGAACGATTCACTCAGGCATGGAACTCTGAGGGTCAACAACACCTGGAGGCTGAATTTGAACAGCCAGAGAGCAGGGCTATTAGAGGGACCCAGTGTGGGGCTGCAAGGATTAGAGATGCCTTGAGGGAGCAATTTGAGACTGAAAGCCACCAGTAATGTCTGGTGCCCTGCACGGGAGTGAAGTGCAGGGGTTCCAATGTTAGTAGGAATCTGTGTTTGCTACGCTGACTTGCAGTGCCTGTTTCTTTCCTGGGCTAAGGTATCTTTTACTTTATGCAATAATAAAGAATGTTTTAAAAGCCAAAAAATTCATTTATTGAAAAGAAACACAACTGCTTGGGAAACAGAAAGGGCAAGGGGGTGGGGTGGAGAACAGTACAATCACAGATTTGCCTATGTCCTGTTATCGTACTCGGCCTTCCTGTCTGGAGTGCTGTGCAATGAGTGCTGCACTTCAGGATGGCTATACTGCATGGTGATGGGGTTTGAGTGCAGTGGGTAAGGGTTGTAGTTTTCAGGGCTGGGTGGTGAAGCTACAGGTGTTGGAGACAGCTGGTGGCGGTAAGAACCCGGATGTTGGGGAAAGTGGGTTGGAGGTAACATGGGGGCACAAGGGAAAGAGTTTTTGGAAAAGGGCTGCAGGGGGTGCGGGCTTGGTAATGCTCCGCCTCATGGCTATGAGCGCCTGGATAGAGTCCACTTGGTTCTCCATTATGCTTATCAGCCGATCCATGCTTTGCTGCTGGAGCACTGCGCTTTTGTGCCGGTGCTCCTCATTCTGCTAGCGGACCCTTCTTTCGCTGTCCCGCCGCTCCTGCACTTTTTGATTTTCATTACCTGAATGCTGCATTACTTCTTTCTGATTCTTTGGAGTCTTTCAGTCAGTGATAACACAGATGGCTGAGATCTCAAGGTTGCATCTGTAAAGGCAAAATGCAACACTTAACAGAGGCAGCATTGTTCACATCAGACAGAGCAATGATTTCCCCGTACTTAAGGGCAAGCACAGTCTACACAATAGGATAATTTGCCTGTCCCAAAGCAAGCGCACATAACTCACAGGAGCCCCAAAATGGTGAGTAAGCACAGGGTCAAACGTAACTGATTGTTTCACGGCTGTACTGTCCTCTGGGTTTCTGTGCCGTGGGAAGAGCCAACAGTGGCAGGGGGCCCATGTACTGAACACTGTCCCCACATTTTCCACAGGAAATCCTGGAAGATATCTCGCTGCTGCGGGTGACCTGGGAAGCAAGGGAGGGTCTTCTGCTGCAATGCGGCTTCCGCCCTGGCCCATATGCAGCTTCCCTGTGTGCAGCAATGGTCCTCCCGCCCCTCACACAGTGGCGTGGACAAGTTAGCCTTAGTGGAACAAGGACCACAGTGGCTCTCCCAAAAAACCTGCGCAAGCACATTGCCCAAGTTCTGGATGAGACCTTTGAAGAGATAACTGAGGCCAATTACCGCTATGTGAGAGAGCACATCAACGCCCTATTCCGCATCTAGGCATGAATGCAGCCCTAACCCTCCTCGCCCCAAGAGCCCACACCGAACAACTTCCTTCCCAAAATAAAAGCTGCTTACTGGGAACCTCCTCTGGTGTTTGTCCTTCTCCAAGAACCAGCTGCCGTGACTGGCTACCTTCCTCCTGGCTTGAGAACAGCTCCTGGCTGCATGCATCTAGGGATGCCGGGGTGTCTTCCTCCGCCTCAGCACCCTTGCTCCTGCTTTGGTCCTCCTGCCTTGTTGCACTGGGCTCTGAAGTGTCCATGGTGATCCTCGCAATGGAGGTGGGGTCTCCCCCAAGTATTGCATCCAGCTCTTTGTAGAACTGGCAGCTCGTGGGGGCAGCACCGGAGTGGCGGTTTGCCTCATGGGCTTTGCGGTAGGCATTCTGCAGCTTCTTCACATTACTCCTGCACTGCAGTGCGTCCCGGTCATGGCCCCTTTCCATCATGTCCCTTGATATCTGCCCGAAGGTATCGTAATTCCTACGGCTGGAGCGCAGCTGGGACTGGACAGCTTCCTCCTCCCAAACACTAATGAGGTCCAGCACCTCGCCATTGCTCCATACCGGGGATTGCCTGGCGCGTGGAGGCATGGTCACCTGGAAAGATTTGCTGAGAGCACTCCACGCCTGGCTGAGCAAACAGGAAGGGGATTTTCAAAATTCCCAGAAAATTTTAAGGGTGGGTCTGATGGTTGGTCACCTGAGGGCAGGGCAGTAGAGTTCAAAGTGATGACCAGAGTGGCTAGAACAGGCATTGAGGGACACTTCTAGAGGCCGATCAGAGCACACTAACAGACCAGGGCGTCCACACTGGTGCCGCGGCGCTCCAGCGGGGGTGCACAAAACGTTATTCCACTTGCCGAGGTGGAGTTCCAGGAGCACTCTAGCCACGGAGTTAGAGAGCTCTACGTGCCTTTAATGTGCTCTAACTCGCAAGTGTAGCCAAGCCCTGGGAATGTGAGTGGGTGTGGGATGTGACTGGAAACCAAGGTGGAGAAGAGAGAGAGATTGGATGAGGAGCCAGGGGGTGGGACTGGAACTGGCTAAGCAAGGAAACTGGGGACAAACAGCTACAGGGTTATGCGGGGAAGAGGATTGGGAGTTGCCTGGCAATGAGAGTGATAGTTAAGGGGGGTGGCAGAAACTGGGATGGGGAGTCCCAAGAGGTCAGACTATGAATTGCTGAGGAAGGAGACTGGGACTGGGATGAGAAGCCTGAAAGGTAGATACTGGGACTGGCTAGGTGAAGTGAATGGGAGTAAGAGAAAGAGCCAGGTGGGGGTAGGACATGTCTCTGTGATGCAATAATATAGACCTGGAAGAAATTTTTTGGATGAAACTTTTGTTGCCAAAAAAATGCAGATTTGGGTCAACAACAACCTTCTGCAAATTTGCGTCAAATTCGCCAAATTGTTTGTCAGCGGAAAAAATTTCCAAAAAAGTTAAAACATTTCAACTTTTTTATTTGAAATGACATTTTGTTTTCAATTTTACTACATTTTATTTAAAAGATTTAAAAAACAAAAACAAAACCTTGAAATGAATCATTTGAGGAAAATTTTTAAAAAAATTTGTTTTGGGTCATTCCAAAACAAAAAAATTTCAGTTCAGTTGCCAAATCTGAAAATAGGTTATTTACACAGCTCTAGTCATAGAATTTCTGACTTTTCAGTTTGCTTTCTTTAAAACCTTGGAAATTACCTGCAAACAATAAGAACAGTATTAAGGATGCAAAAGTCAAGCACTCAACAGTTAGGAAATGCCAGAATTAAGGTTGCCTGTGCAACTTTAATTTGGCCCCTTTGTGCATATGCATTCTGATAGTATTTAAATAACATGATCACATGCTAATTTTTCCATACCCCCTGGACCTGCCCTGGGGATGAGGCAGGGTTGAGTAGTAAAGGAGACTTGTCTGTAGGACCCCTGCTTCATTTGCTGCTGAAGTTGGAAGGTGTGTAGTGAATATAGCAGGAAGAGAAGGGATGATGTCAAGGTTACTGCCATTGAATTCTGCCATGGAGAATTGGTTTCTGTACTTGCCTGTGCCACAGTTCCTATCTGATGTTGGGCAAGTCACTTAAACCAAACTTTTCACTGATTGCATCGTCCTCATTTTCTGGGTGACTGACTGGATGCCCTGGGGCCTGATTTACAGAAGTGCTGCTCACTCACAGCCACAACTGAAGTCAATGGGAGCTGTGCTTTGAACCTGATAAATCAGGTGCTAGGCACCCAAATCGGGAATCTAAAAGAAGTGGATACTTTGACCTGAATTTCTTTGTGTATGTTTCCCACCTGTGACATTGGGATAATAATATCCTCTCATCTCACGGGGTGTTGTGAAAACAAATTAATTAATATTTATGACAGGTTTCAGAGTAACAGCCGTGTTAGTCTGTATTCGCAAAAAGAAAAGGAGTACTTGTGGCACCTTAGAGACTAACCAATTTATTTGAGCATAAGCTTTCGTGAGCTACATCCGATGAAGTGAGCTGTAGCTCACGAAAGCTTATGCTCAAATAAATTGGTTAGTCTCTAAGGTGCCATAAGTACTCCTTTTCTTTTTAATATTCATGAGCAGTCAGCTACTATAGTAATGGGCATCATAGGCTCTCTGTCCATTGTCTGAACCTAGTGAAATAACCAAATCAGAGACCAGAAGACTACAGGAACAAGGAACTCCCACTTAGATTTACTCCAGGCATTCTGCTCTACTCAAGGCACCCAGAAAAAATGGAATAGGGGCCTGCAAGTTAAGAAAACAAATTCCACAAAAGTTTTCTCTGGGGAGATTTTGGACTGTATCCATATGCAACACTGACATTCCCATTGCTCTGAATAGCCATAACTGCACATTATCCTGCCAAAATGTCTTGCTCTCACAATCTAGTTTTTTCTTTATTTACTGAAATGGGTTCTACTTTCTTTGCTCTTGCCAAACTCAAATATACTATCATTTTCAATAATCTTGGGCGCTTCATCAGTTTGATAGCTGCTATGTGATCTGGGTTGCAGTTATCTTTGTGATAGTCCTCCCTCTTTACATGCTATCCTAAAAATCGAGATTAGCAGGAATACTTTTGCCAGCAGCCCTCAGATGTGGATACTGGGTATTGTGGGGGCATGGTAACACAGGACATTTTCTGTTGTGAGCCCTCATTTCTGAACCTAATTTTCTCTGTTGATCCAGCAAATCTTACTGTGATGGGTTGTATCTACCCTTCACTAGCTCAGCAAGGGTTAAGCATTCACTGTGGGCTCAGGGGGTCACGCCTTCTCACCCTTACTGGGAATGCTCCAGCTGAAACCAGGATATAAAAGGAAGCAGCTCAGCTCAATCTGGACTGACTGAGGAAGAGAGCAGACACACGCTGCAGGTTCCAGCCAGGAAGCTACTTGAGCACCAGACTGCGGAGGCTAAAGATGATGAGTCCACTGAGGACCCGCAGGTGGCCGCAGAGACAGAGGGAGAAAGATGGCAGAGCTGCTGGAACTGGAATCACAGGAAGTGGCCCAGGGAACTTGTTTGTGGAGGTTGGAACCTGAACCTGAAACCAGGACTTGGATGCTGAAACAATTTGTATAGTGGGGATGCTGAGAGCCATTGAACCAAACTCTAAAGCCTGTATATGATTAAAATCACTTCAAGCCAAAGAGTGCGGGAGCATCCCCAGCACCCCTAGTTCCAGCACCTATGACCAGAACTACTGTTTGCATAGGGCTTCGGAGGTGGGACTCAATGGAATAGGGTGGACCCAGATCTCCTTACCTGCTGCTGTACCTGCTGCTGGGTGCAGCAACTGCCCAAGATACTAGGCACCATTGCCTGAGACTGTGAACGTTAGGCACTACTGCCTGAGACCAAGGACTCTGGCTGCTAGGCCTCGCCACTCTGAGGACAAGGGCAGCCTCATGACTCTGGGAGGGAGAGCGCCTCTCAGTAGGAGTAGTGGGGTCAAAAATTGAACTAATTTTAAGATGGAGCTTGATATAGTTATGAATGCGATTATATGACAGGGTCGCTTGTGTTAGCAGGGCAACGGACTCAATAAGCCACGAGGTCCTTTCCAGATCTGTGTCCCTATGATTTTAAAGTGCTTTAAAAATTATTGTTGTGCACTCGGAGATGGCCACATGTCAGTAGCAGGTGAAATGATTCTGTTTATATAGGTTTCTTTGTCTAGTCAGTCTGGGCTTGTTTCTATGAACACTTAGTGCGAAAATCCACCTAGCACTAGCCTGCTGGCCACTCAGTGTCCATGTGGAGCCTGCTAGTGCATGCTAAAAGTTCCATAGTGCACTTTGATCTACCCTGCTTCAAAACAAGAGTAGATTAAAGTGCGCTGGGTAACTCTTAGTTCATGGCAGCATGGTCCATGTGGACAGTTAGTCTGTGATAGTCTAGTGCAGGGTAGATTTACACCCCAGCTTACCACAAACTCACTGCTTGTCTAGACAAGTTCTACATCTGCCATATAGACATAACCATGTGATGAACTATACTTATAATCTAAGTTCCCTCTAAGCTGCCAGTAGGCTACAAAGAGCTGCGCAGGCACACAGCCACAGGGGCCTGAGGAGGGGAGCAAGTTGGGGGCATGAAGGGCTACTGCGCGCCTCTCCTCAGGCCCTGGAGCTGCTGCCAGCGGAAAGAAGCACCTCTCTCCCGAAGCTGCTGCTGGTGGGGAAAGGGCTGGGGGGAGTCCTCTGGCCCCAGCTCCAGGGCAGTCTGCACCCCAAACTTCTCATCCCCAGCCCCACCCCAAAACCCACATCCCCAGCTGGAGCCCTCACACCCTGAACCCCTCATCCCCGGCCCCACCCCAGAGCCTGCATCCTCAGCCACAGCCCTCACCCCCTGCACCCTAACCCTCTGCCCCAGCCCTGAGCTCTCTCCCACACTCCGAACCCCTTGGCTCCACCCCCACTACACATCACCTCCATATTGGTGCACATAACAAAATTCATTCCGCACATGGATATAAAAAATTAGAGGGAACATTGCTTATAATGTTCCTTTGACTCGCCTGCACTCTGTCGAGTAACCAGTTTCTCCAAGGATTGATCTAGCATGTAGCATCCCACATTTCTGAGCAGCTAAATAGATTCATAGACTTTCAGGCCAGAAGGGACCATTGTGATCATCTAGTCTGACCTCCTGCACACTTGCAGGCCGCAGAATCTCACCCACCCACTCCTGTAATAGACCCATAACCTCTGGCTGAGTTACTGACGTCCTCAAATTATGATTTAAAGACTTCAAGTTACAGAAAATCCACCATTTACTTTAGTTTAAACCAGCAAGTGACCCGTGCCCCATGCTGCAGAGGAAGGCAAAAAAAACCAACCCCAGGGTCTCTGCCAATCTGACCTGGGGGAAAATTCCTTCCCGACACCAAATATGGCTGTCAGTTGAACCCTGACCATGTCAGCAAGACCCACCAGCCAAACACCTGGGAAAGAATTCTCTGTAGTAGCTCAGAGCCCTCCCCATCTAATGTCCCTATCATGTCATTGTAGGCAACCTCACCATACCATCCCCTCCATAAACTTATCAAGCTCAAAGTCACACCATTTAAAAAAAATGCCTCAGAAATGTTTCCTCCTTTTCCCCCAAATAAGGAATTC